TCTGAGAAACAACATAATAAAAGAGAATTTTATTTATAAAAATAGTTCATATGGAACAACACATCTGTACACAGAGGTCACTAGAATATGCTTGGAGTGACATTCAAGTTTGAGCTAAGTTCATGTGTAATCTTTTTCTGCTCACCTGTGAACATCACAGAGAATACACAAAACTAGTTACCACTTAATCCTACAGATTTAAAATATTTAACATACCCTTACTCCAGATTACTATCAGTTGAAAGTCAATGTTTCAAATCAACTGAACCTTCAAAATGACAAGATTTTGCACTGCACTGTCTTCAAAGCTTGCTTTTCTTTTTTGTAGAGGAAAAAATTAAGGAAGCATCCTATTTTTAAAGAACTGAAAATCAAATACAAAGCATATTCTTAGTAGCACAGGGCACTGAAAGAAAAAAATTAAAAAGATACTTGTTTTTTTAAAATAAATTCCACCAACACACTTCTTACTTCTGAGAATTGGGCTAGGACAGAGAAGTAAAAGTTTCCATGAAACAAATCTAATATTTTCCTCCAAATTATCACTGATAATTGATCTGACTGATATTGATATTAATTTCTAGGAAGGAGATTCTTCCCATGCATTAAAAGGGTATGAAAATAGCTCATGTTTTCAAATTTAGACTAGTCCCCAAACATTTAAACGAAGACTAGTACACCAAAAGCAAACTAGATTATTTTGAGAAAGTTCCATTTTTAAAATTATGTCATGGTAATCTGAAGCTAACTAAAAATGGTGTTGTGGATTTTACTTACAATCTGCTTTCTGGGAAGGAGAGGTGATTTGTCCTATTAATGTAACAGTTTAAGTCAAAAGCAGATTAATAACTGCCCTATAAAAATTTCTAACACTGACTTTTTTTATAGACATTACCAAATAATAAAAGTTACCAAAATAATTTGCTTCACTGAAAAGTAGCCTAAGACAAAGCATTAATCCAATTTCAGATTTAAAAGGCACAGCTTTCTTAAAAAAAGAAAAAAAAAACCACATCATCCCCTCACTGCCATCCTGTTCACTAAACATTTGCTAAAATCACACATTTAACCACTTAATATGAGTCAGGCCTGTGTTTTACTGTGTGAAACATTAAGATTAGAATGAAATAGCGATGAATTATGAAAAGAGGCCCAGGAGAGACATGTTAAAAATCAAGAAAACATACTTAAGGTAATATGGACTTAAACTGTTTGACTTGCAGTGACCTTTATTCGTTTGTTTTTTGTTTTTTTGTACTGGGGATCAAACTCAGGACCTTACACAGCGTCACTGAGCTAAATCCCTGGCCTGAAGTAAGTAACTCTTATTAAAGGACATGTTGCATATGCATCCTGGTGCTTCTAAAAAGAAGGTATCAAAGTCTCACATCTGCAAAGAAAAAATTCACACAAAAGGGAAAAACATTAGGATGGTCTTTGTAATCTAAAGATGTACTCACAACACAACTGTGTAGCAAGAAATGACATTGAAATAAGAGTAGAAGTTCATTTAACCTAAATCTTCAGTTCCACTTTTCCATTATTTTGAGCCTTTTGGCTGAAAAAATATATTATCTACTGAGCACTCTGTATTTCCTCACTGAACCAATACCAACCATGGGAAACAGAGTGTCATAATAAAATGCCATGTATTCCTCACCTAAAAACTAAACATTCACCTTCCCTTAGAACAATACAAAGGACATTTTAGGTACTGAAATACTTTAAAAAATCAATTGTAAACAAATTAAACACCTCAACTCACTAAAACAAACAAACATACATGTGACCAGTTTCAAAATTTCTTTAATGTAATTTTTCAGTATTCAAAAGGCAGAAAATGGCTGGGGACATATTTCAGTACTAAAGCACTTGCCCAGCATGTGGGTGTTGCTAGGTTTGAACCCCAGCACTAAGGGATAAAAAAAGGCAGAAAAAAGCACAGAATCCTATACAAAATTGTTCTGGATTACTTAAACCTTAAAAATACATTCATTCAATAAAGTGTTTGTAGATGGGGAAGGGAGGAGGGGGTGAAGGAAGGGCAGGGACAAGGGGAAAAAAACGAGAACCAAGAGACTTGTCATGTAAAGGTACAAGATCCCAACAATGAATGTAACTGTACTGTATCCCTAAAATGTACCAATAAACTCAATTAAAGCTGAAAAAAAAATACATTCATTCAATAAAATGTACTAGCTAAGCAACAAACACCCAACTCTGAAAGTGCATCTGGAATTACATCTCTAGTTATCAGTGATCTGTAAAGAAAATCAAAATAAACTGACTGAAATTTTTTATTCACCTTAATTTTAACAATGATCCCCTTTCAAAGCCCTGTCACTCAAAAAAAAAGCAAATTTTTAAGTCATTTATCTGAAAAGACCTTAACAATGTGTTAACTAGGTGTGGTGTACATGCCTATAATCCCAGCACTCAGGAGGCTGAGGCAAGATTCCCAAGAGTTTGAGGTCAGCCTGGGGCACACAGTTAAATTTAAATTCTGCCTAAACTACCTAGCAAGACCCTGTCTCAATAAACAAAAACAAACAAATAAAATGTGTTAATAAAATCCCAGGTAATATTCCTTTCTCTCAAAAGCAATAATCAAAAAAAGAAAAGCACAATTTCCTTTAGAACTTATTTCTTAGCAAGGCATGATGACACATGGCTATAATCTGAGCACTCTGGAAGCTGAGGCAGAAAGATCACAAATTCTGCCCAGCCTGAGAAACTTAGACCAAAATAAAGAATGAAATAAAAAATTGTGAAAAGGTTTGGGATGTAGCTCAGCGCAAAGGCCCTGGGTTCAATCAGTACCACTGAATAACAGAAATTCATTCCTTCTCAGCCTTCTCACACAAAACTCAAATTATTTAGAAATTGATTGTTTAGTCATAAATAGGGAGACACTGTCTCAAAACCAAAGGGGGCACTAGGTCTTCAGAAAGGATTCACATGGTCACACACAAGTCATGCCTGCACAAACATGCAAACACCGATTTCTTAAAATAATATAAATTTTTAAATTATGGATGACTTTTTGTTTATTACAAAATATAGACTTCTAGTATAAAAAGAAACCAACAATAAGACAAGCATAAAGCAGTAAAAGCTCTGCCCATTCACTTGACTGCTCTTCTCCAAAAGTACCAGCTCTCTCCATCGGAGTCGCTTGTGTAGCCTTCCAGATGTGTTACGCATTGACACATGAGTCTTCTTTATTTTAAACACAACTTGCAGCATTATTCTAAAGTCCTTTATTGTATTTAAATATATGTAGGGAAATATAGGGAGAGGAGGGGATGGGAAAAAAAAAAGAATCAAGATGTTATGTACATGTACCAACACTCCACAACAAATATAATTATGTACTAATAAAAAAATTTACATTATATCAAAAGTAGTAGTAATGAAAGTCTAGTCACTCATCCTTTTACTTTTTCATGGTTGCATTGTATTCCACTGAATACTTCTTAATCCTTCTAATGGAAATTTAGGTTGATTCCAGCTTTTCAGTATTGTAAACCAGACTGCACTTCATACTGCAATGATCACTGTCATAGAAAACATCTTTATGCACTTATATCAATATTATCCATATGATAAATTCCTTAAAATGACACAAAAAGATTGTACCTAGTGGCAAGGTAGGCAGCATTCATTTCTCCCACCTCCCCAACCAATTGTGGGTATTACTAACTAGCTCTGCACAGTCTTTACCAATGTGGTAGACAGAAGTGGAATTTCATTTATACTTTATGTAAAAACGAAAGAGTATGTTTATTAACCATTTGCATTTCTTGGTCTCTGAAATGTTATCCATTTTCCTACTGTTATTCATCTCTCTTTTTTAACCAGTTAGTTTTCTGCCAGCCTTTGATCAAATATGATCTAAATATTTGTCTACGTTATCTGCTTATCTTGGTTTATTATGGTGTTTTCAGCCTTACACAAATTTTAAATTTTCATTAATGTAAATTTATCTGTCTTTTCCTTCACTATCTGAGTTTTAACTTATTTAAGTGAGGAAGCTTTTTCTCAAGCAAAAATTTAGGGAAAATCATTTACATAATCACCTCTTAATCATTACTTAAATGATGCCAATGTTACTGAAATAACAGCACCCACAAAGGCAAATTCCTTTCATTATCATTATTTAATAAAAATCGCCCAGCTTCTCTAACTCTCCTACAATCAAATATGATACTGCTTACAACTAGTATACCAAAGGTTTTATTACTTTTTAATTTCTGCTTAAAATCTAAGCATTGCAAAATAATTACATCAAGCAGGCTTAATTTCTCGCAAGCCCAATTCTCTGCCCTCAGAGCCTTAGATAATCTTCAAAAGCACAAATGTAAAATAAAGTTCAACAATTCGACTTAGCCCTAGTGTAGCTATAATTTGGTACAAAAGTCAATGGCTAATTCCTATGAAAGCAAACATAAACGTGCAGAAACAGAAAACTGCTTATGGTGCTATCAACACAATACTCTGTTCTTTTCCATCTCAAATTCTGAAACAAAACACATTCCGAAAAACCACCTTATCACAAGCATAAAATAAGCCTCCTGAGTTACTATTCCAATTCAAACTGTCCCCACATGAGAGTTAGAACTGAGTCCTGCCACCTTCTCCCATTCCCCACTAAGGGGAGGGACTGGTTGGAAGTTTTCCCTCTCTCTCCCTCTCTGTGCCACCAGCTGCCAGGCATTTAACACCCTCCCATGTCTAAGCTGACTGGCACAAGTACTGCAACTTGGAAGTTAAGGAAATTGCTAACTCAGAGAGGAATAAAGAATATTTTCCACGATTTGTACAGCACTTGTTTAGCACATTACGTGTTTCCAAAGTGGCAGTTAACCCTTCAAACTGCACTAGAAGGTCAACTCTTCAAACTCTTCACTTCTCATCCACCACAGCCAATTCCATTCAGGGCCCTCCTTTCCTTTGGGGTCTATTCAGAAAGTTACTATATTCTTTTCACAACTACTCACCCAGGCCTCTTCCACTGATGAAAGCAGGCAAAGCCCACGCTGTGTGTCTGTCTCCTAGAGAAGATTGCATCTTTTATTTATCGCCCCTTGGCTTTATTTTCACAGTGAATTCCTCGCTTAAATGCAATCAGCCAAGAAACCCTCCCTATGTGCTCTCCTGTCATTCCTCATTGCTTGCAAGCAGAGTGAAGCACAGGGGGAGGGGGGGGACAAAACAAAACAAAAAACAACAACAACAACAAAAAAACACCTCAACACTGCCAGCCAAGCCATAAAAATTCGCACTCTAGTTTGTTATACTGAGCAACTATAGATGCTTCAATCCGCAAGGAAACAAGCAAAGAAACAAAAAAGGAATGCTTAAAAGAATGTTAATTAAATGTTAAAAAGGGGGGAAAAGGGACGGATAACCTCAAATAACCCACCCCACCCCCAGGAGAGTGCTGAGCATAGAAAAGGCAACACTGGGGGATACCTTTGGAAATAAATGACCATGCAGAAAATCACGTTTGCAGATTGCATTAGAATTCAAATTAACCAGACAAGATTAAAACAAATTTTAATTCTCCTGGGGCACTATCCAGACCCCAAAGACTATAAAAAGAAACGACCACAGAAAGAGAGACAAGAATAAGTTAAAAATCAAAGAGAAATGCCTCCAAATCTATCCCCATTCACCTGGTACAGCGTTGAACATGCAACCTCAAGGAGACTAACACTATAGGGGGTAAAAAATGCACCACTGGCAATCAGGAGGAAAATACTAAGAGTGCGGAGTTTCACTACAGTATTGTTCATTCCAGTCTAGTTCAAACATTCCAACTGCTAAGGCTGGAAAAGATTATCTGGAAAAAAAAAAAAAGGAAAAAATTTTGGGGTGAACCAAGGGACGCTTTTTTTAAAAATCAGCATTTTGATATAACTCTGATGGCCTGTCAGAGAAAGGAGGGTGTGCAGCTTTAAATCACAAGTCCTTCTCTCGCCTTTGTCAAATATCTTCTACTTTACAAGCCAAGAAAAGAAATAAGAGAGACTCTTTTGTTTGCGTTCCCCTTTTTCAGAGGGTGAGAGAAAATGGAAACGGGCACAAATAAACCTGCAAACGAGAACAAAGTGCCGGGTCGCGCCGGGCAGCCGCGCGGGGGACGCG